GGGCCGACCAGGCGGCGTTCATTATTTGGGTAGACAAGAACAACACTCTCCCCGGAACACACCCATCTGGGGATGCGCCACTGACGACACCCAACCATTGGGTACACATGTCGAGATATAACAGAGGAGTAGACAGGAACAACTACCTAGATCTCGCGATGCCCAATAGAGCATGGTTGATCAGGCATCGTTCAACTGTCGTCTAGTTGAGTTTGATAATTCTCTCTTTCCATCTCTCTTTGTTTCAAGAGCTAAATAAGGGCATATCCGCAAAGGTATCGGTCTCAAGGTCAAAGAAATAGGTTCAGTGGTTCGATCTCCCAAAGGTTAAAAAAGACATCGGTATTAAGACTACGCCCTCCGGATGATGATATGTCCCAACCATCTATAGCCCATGGTTCCCTTGTTTTTGACCCGGTAGAGCAATCCGAATTAGATTAGACTGATATAGAGTAGGTGGGTTCCAATTCAAAGTTTTTTTAGTCGCCTTTGTTTCTTATGTCCGACCGTGTCTTACCCAAGGGAAGTAAATGGAGCTTTCGATGGTGTGACTTGCTTTACTATTATCTTCAATTCAACCTGGGTAGACACGAAATGCATGACCCTAAGAACACGAACATTCGAGGACGCAACGCGCCCAACCACCGGGTAGACCCGTCGGGATCCAACAAAGGAGCAGGCATAAAGGGGGGCCAATCACGATGTTCAACGACCGGTTAGACCCGGTGGGATCCAACAACCGGGTAGACAACAAGGAAGCCAATTAAGAGGCACTCAACAACCGGGCAGATAAGGACCGGTCCCCCACCCCTGAACGAGACCCAACCGGTAATTAAGCCCGACATCGCCCCACCAGTGCAAGACATTGTTTAGTGAGTTTCGCAAAACTTTTCTTACTTTTCACCATTTTTTCAAATTTTATGAACTTTTCCAAATTTATGAATATTTTTTCAAATTTCATGACACTTTCAAATTTCTTAAAAAATGATGATTTTTATCAAAATTTTCCCATCTTTAAATTTTTGTCTTGTATAATTTATGTATTTTTTATTTTTAATGGTCAATAGTCAACTGAAAAAATACACACGAGGTAACAATAGATAGCTCTGCCCAGGACGCGTGCGGGTAAGCGCCACACCAGGGAACGACGCTATAACATTGTATAGGCACGGCCGCAAATCCTATTCAGCGCTTAGGGGTGTGTTTGGTAGCATGTATGAACCTAGCCTAATTGTTCTCCTCTCATACATGCTGAGTGTAAACATGCTGAGTCCATGCATTTGCTGTTGTTTGGTAGCGGTGTATGCGCTGAGACATGCTGAGCTGAGACTTTGTTTGTCAGCCTCCATGTGTTTAGACATGCTGAACAATTTCGAATTTTGAATAATTTTTTGAATGGTGAACAAGATTAAAAAACATGAAGATAAATTTAAACATATTTTAAATTTCTGAACTTTTATCGAAAATTTAAATAAAATTTGAAATTCTAAACATTTTTTGAAATTTTAAATAAATTATGAAAATCTGAATATTTTTTAGAAAAAATAACAATATTTTGGGCATGGCTAAGGGCCCAAGTGAGCGCATGAACTCTTTTTCAATAATTATGATCTTTTTGCCAAACAAGTAAAAGTGGGTCAGATTAAAAACTTTTGCCCTCATACACCCTCCATGTACCCCAAACACACTCTATAGCACCCTAAGCGCCTGTTAAAGGGTAAATAGTACGTGACGCACACCCCACGAGTTAACTGGGCTGGCCCATAAACGTTCAACTGTCGTTCCTGGTTTTGTATCTACTTCCTGGCCGGTTTGTTTTCTTTCTTTTTACGCTCTCCTTTTTTATTGAATTTTCTCAAAAACTTTGTTCAAATTTCTGCACACTTTTGAAATTTGTGAACATATTTCATATTGAAAAACATGTCTGAAATTATTGAACATTTCTAAAATTGGCGAACTTTTTTAATATTCGCAAACATTTTTTGAAAGTCCATGGATTTTTTTTCATATCCGCAAAATTTGTTGAACTTTGCTATAATTTTTTCGAATTCATCAACTTTTTTTAATCCGTGAACTCTTTTTCAATAATTACGATCTTTTTTCCAAACCAAGATTTGGTTTTCAAAATCATGAACTTTTTTTCAGATACGTGAATTTAATATTCCGTGAAATTTATCAAATCTATGTTTTTTTAATTCGTGAATATTTTTTAAGTTCGTCATTTTTTTTTCATATTCATGAACCTTTCCTTTAAAATCCGTGAACATTTTTGTATTCATGAACTTTTTTCATAATTTATGAACTTTTGTTTTCATTTTCTATTTTTTCAGATTCGTGGACCTTTTTCAAATTTGTGGACTTTATGCAAATTCATGGGAATTATTTTCCAAATTTGTAAACTTTTCCTTTCAAACTAGTGAACTTGGTGTATCCGTGAACTGTTTAATTAATGTTTTTTTTTCATTTTTAGTGTTTTTTTTCTGAATCCTTGACTTTTTTTTGCATTTTAGTTCATTATTTGCAGTATTTTGCAAACTTTTTCAAATTCTTATATTTTTTTATTTTCGATATGTCAATGGTCAAGGGTCAACAGCAGAACGACCAACTAAGCCAACAAAGTATCGGGCGAGATCAAGTGAGCGTTCTTGTTAATGGGTTGACCCAACTCACCAAGCGCATGAGCGCAAACTAGACACTGACGCTTAAGGCACCATATAAGAGGTCCAGGCATGCGCTACGAGAAACGCACACGCATGGACGAGGCAAAAGATGCCAG